TGGCATCTGGTGTCGTTTGTCGTGTTGATACAGGCCTGAGTATATAAAATAAAGTGTAAATTGGCTGTGTGAATTGCTTATATTGATTATAACTGCGTGTGCTGTGAAAATGATTTAATACAGAAGCTGAGTGTTTGAGGATTAAACCAAATAGTGTGTTTGTGGTGTGTAAAAATCGCGGCAGGAGGCCGTGTCACGAGTTGTTGCAAACTGTGAAGTCAATGGGGGGGTTGAGTTTGGTTTTATATATTTTAAAGGAAGAGAAACTGCGGTATCGAGTCCGTGGCGCAGTTTGAATAATTTGTGAGGTGCATAAGAGCGGACGGCCCCCGCTCTGTGTGCCGTCCAGGGCGTTGTCCAGAATAAGCAGAGAAGGAAGTGTCTCACAGAGAGTTTGAATGGGACTGCAAAAAGCATGAAGTGTGTGTGAGCCAGCCTCGAGGGGCGGGGTTCACAGGCGGACCGAACAAGGAGTAAAATGTGTGTGTGTCTGTGAGAGAAAGAAAATGTGGGGGCCGAGTGACCAGCCTGTGAGTGTGTGCGAATTCCTGGATGACAGAAGAGGGAGAAGAAGTAGATCAGTTGATTTTCTGTGAAATAATAATAGTCAAGAAATCCTAGTGATCAAATAGGAGAAAGTGAATGGAAAATAAAGAAAGAAAACTAAAACAGTGGATTAGTGTTAAGGTAGTGATAAATAAATTGATAAAATTAACAGTGACATTTAAAGGTGATCAAGTACTCAAGGATGAATGGAGGATTTGATGGCTGACTGCATGAGAGCTGTTGGGGTGGAAGGAAAATGAGGTTGGAAGAGTGAGTTAACAGGTTAATGTGTGCGTGTAAAAAAAAAAGAGAGAAAAAGAGAAAGAAAGTGATGAAAGCAAAGAAAATAAAAGTGTGGAAGTGTGAGTGAGAAATTGTCTCCAACTGGGGGAAGCAGTGATAGCAGAGGTCACCTTCTTCCCCTGCTGCACACAAAATGAAAACATGATTTGGAGTGTGGTGGACGAAAATAACTAATAACAACATCAAGAGGATTTTTGTGGTTATGGTTAAGAACAAATAAAATTTCACATTTGGGGTTTAAAGTTAGTAGAGTTCAAAACAAAATAAGTAGAGATGTGTTGCTTTAGGAGTGATGAAAAATCTGGAGTCACAGTGAATAATGAAAGTCTCTCAGTCTGTCGTTTACAGGTGGGGAATGGACCTGGATCAATTCTCCACAGGCAGCAGTCGGAAGAAAATTATAGGTTAAAATCATTAGAAACAAAATAAAAACACCCAGCCAGGATTTTTGGCTGAACCGTTTTGCAGCTTCCCGTCCTCATCCTGAACAAGCGAGCTCCAAGGAAGCTAATCTCTCCCTGAAGACACCGA